CCATTATTTCCGAATATTTATAATCAACATACCCGACTTTAATATCACATGTCTAGTTGCTACGTGTGTATGTCATGGTCCAAAGAGCTATTTATGTATTAAAAAAGGATGAATCCTCCTGAATAGACAAAGTGTATATCTCTCTTTACAGGATAATTTGTGCAAACATCTAATTTGCCCGAACAAATATCTAATTTCTCCGAACAAATAACTTATTTGTCCGAACAAATTTCTAATTCGTCCGAACGAATTTCTAATTTGTCCGAACGAATATCTAATTCGTCCGAACAAATAACTAATTCGTCCGAACGAATATCTAATTCGTCCGAACAAATAACTAATTCGTCCGAACGAATTTCTAATTTGTCCGAACGAATATCTAATTTGTCCGAACGAATATCTAATTTGTCCGAACGAATATCTAATTCGTCCGAACAAATAACTAATTCGTCCGAACGAATTTCTAATTTGTCCGAACGAATATCTAATTTGTCCGAACGAATATCTAATTCGTCCGAACAAATAACTAATTCGTCCGAACGAATATCTAATTCGTCCGAACAAATAACTAATTCGTCCGAACGAATTTCTAATTTGTCCGAACGAATATCTAATTCGTCCGAACAAATAACTAATTCGTCCGAACGAATTTCTAATTTGTCCGAACAAATAAAAATATTTTTTTACCTGGCCCTCCAGCGGCGCCGTAATATAACTGTCCCACATTCGTTTTGAAAAACAAGATTTCTACAGACGGATTCTTCTATGAATGTTTCGAAGGTTATAATTTCGAACCATTTTTCCCCCTAGATTACTGAATGATTTTTGTCTTTTTGTGCTTACTTTAACTTACGTAATAAACATCAACCCGATCAATAAATAGGACTCAGGATGTAAAGGTACTTTAACAAAATTATTTTGATTACAGTTAAATAGTTAAATATTATTTTCATTTAAAGAAAATAATAAACTCATTTAATCATTAAATTGTCTACCTACATTTTCCTTAAAATGTTTTGATTAAACAAGGGAAATAAAGGGAAAATAAATGCAGGATTAGTGTATAAATCTGGCCAAAGGCATATTTACATAGATACATGTGTAACAATATTTTAATGTGAAATTGTTTTTCTCTCTTCCTGATTCATCTTTCTGTTTTCAGATTTCAATCGTAATCCGATCATCAATTTTATCAATGTGTTTTTTTCAACAGCGAAAAATAAATATTTATGGGTATTTGATACATTATTGCTGACAAATTCTTAATCACTAGCAACCTGCAATATTTATATAACATAATTATCGTTTAAAAGTACTTTTTCTAGGGGTCATAATTCCGCGGGATCACAATATGAGTTTAATTCGTGGTTAAAAAAAAAATAAGAGACCGGTTTTTTTAGTGAGGGGTAGAGGATTTCAAGTTAAATACAGATTCACTTTTAAATAAAACAAACTACAAACCTACAAATTTTTGATAAAATACAAAGTTCTTATTTGACAATTTCATTCTAAAATGCCAATAAACATATTACACCTATCACTTGGCTCAATTAGGAAATGATATTTAATTTTTGAAGATTCATGAGGCTATGAACTACGACGCTTCACGCCGACATATTTCATGAAGCGCGTTATACCTCATGTATCTTCAAAAATTAAATTCATTTCTTAAATTTCCATTATTTTTCTGATGATTAGCCACAAATGTACGCCATTCGACTGTCATTTTTAAAGCAAAAGAGTTTGCACTACAACTTTCTCTCAACTGCGGTATTAGAGCGTAACAATGGAGATATTCATACGCATCCATGGTAATTCATGAGAAAATGAACAACACATCCTATTTGCAACGAATCTTATGGAAAATTACTTGGAAATGTAAATATTGTCAGTTGACAAGTCATTTCTGCAGTGACCCCTATGTATTTCCCAGGTAGACTTTGCATTCCATAGTCATATTCAGTGTACAAACAAAGGCCTAACAGTTTTTATGAAACAATGGCGTCTTAGCAAAAAGTGATGACAAAGTGTACAAGCTTAATCTTCCCCCTACTTTATGTGTAGCCATATGTATATGTACATTAATTATCACCTCGACATTTGGTTATGTCTCAGTTGAGTCGATACGACAAAAAACATGCAGTACGAACCTTTTCGTAAACGAATCAAACTACTTAAGTTTGAAATCAGGAATGTGAACAGTGTAATTTGTAGTCAGCATATTGCAATTTTTTTTTGGTCAATACAACAACAACGAATATTATTATTTTTCTGTATTGTTCCAACTATCTGATTGGCTCAAACTGGATCACATGATCAAGTATAAAAAGTGTTACAGACTGGACGTTTCTATTTTAAGAATTTATAAACCTGCTTTTCTAAAATTGGAAACGTTCATTGTGAAGCAACAATAGTGCTGACGTCACGATACTCTTTAAAGACTGGATGTTTCTAAAAACAGATACTGTAGCTGGTTTTCATTACTGTGACGTCATAATGCAATGACATAACAATGCCTTGTATGAGAAGGTACTCAGTATTATAAAGAAGGATTTTAAGACATGTCTTATTAACTGATGAAAAATAATAAAACAATTGTAGCCTTTTGATTCGGTACAATCCCTCGATATATAGACCTTAGAGAAAGCATATCGACCTCGCACTTCGTGCTCGGTCGATATGATTTCTCTAAGGTCTATATATCGAGGGATTGACCTCATCAAAAGGCTATAATTGTATAATATCCGAAACACAATAAACGAAACACTGACTTATGTTGTTTTTTTTTTCATTCTAGTTTTTTGTTTATTATTAACACATCGAAAGTGTCTACATTTTACCCTCTAGTCTGTTTTTCCGATCATGACAAGAAGTACACGGCTGTTGTGACAGCTCGGCAGGGGATGCTCATTTTCCCACGGTGCCCGATCCCACAACTGATGTTTTAGAGATTCATCTTTGCACCTGCTTTGTATTGTTTGTGTGGATTTGTTGGGCTTGAAAACTAATATTTATCTCCAAAGATTTCACACAGCAGTTATTTCTATCAATGATGTTGTTCTAATGACTCTTGGCAGCTAATTGCTCCTATTTTGACGGAAATACTTATAATTATTACCTTGAGTAGAACCAAAAGGTTTCTTCTTAGATTTGGTATAACACTATATTCTACACTAAAAAAAACTTTTTTCCTCTTTTATTTACATAAAAATCGAAATTGGATACATATATGTTCATTTTTTCGACTGACATACAAATATACTGTTTCAAAATTATTTATTGATGAAATGAAATTTAAGGAAATCATTTTTTTTTAAATTATGGATAGGAATGCACTGTACAAGGATGATATCTTAGACAATACGATGTACTACGTGTCTATACCAAAACATGATGAATAAAGTTATGAATATGTAGCGATTTATTATTTCCCAGTATTTCCCGATAAAAACCAAGATTTCCCAGGAATTACCAGAATTTCCCACCGTCCTGAGAATATGAGTAGTTCCCTTTTTTGCCAACCCCTGGTTAATATCTTTGCAAAAATTGAATAATGCTTGAATATGCTTAAATATTAAGTGTACTATGAGTTTATAATTTACTATGTGTAAAAAAAAGCCTTTGTATTATTTGCTATCCTTTATTTTCTTCTTAGATTTACAAAGATAAAAGTTATATAAGATACCAAACTAAGAAATTTTCTGAAAAGCATCTTATATAGACTGAAATTTGTGCATATGTTCATACTCAAAGCAATATTTAAAAAAAAATCATTGATGAGATTAGAAACAGAGAAAATATTTATCAATATTTAGGTGATCGTAAGTAAAACACAAGATAGGTACTTATAGTAGTGTTGTCTGCACGATGTAAGAATTCATATATTGGTTATGTCTGTGCCCTATCATTAATTTAATTCTAGAAAAGAAAACGAATCTTGTTATAAGAATTTTCTATGACAAAGCAGCAATATATTAAACACCTCAAGGTCGTTTATATTTAATTAATAAGAATTATAATAGAGATTAAGTATAAACATTTTCACTATATTTGTTAGAAACCTTCAAGATATATTTTTAAAAAAGGTGAAAAAGTTTTACAAATACACGCTGTTATTTTGACTTAAGGCCAGGATAAGTAAGAATAAGTAATTCAAATGCACTTTACAGAAGCTGCCTATAAATATTGTCGATTTCTCTCCTGTTTAATCAAATTAGGACCATCATCATGAGGGTTACAATATTTTGTGCTTTTCTGGTTTCTCTGGTGCTGATAGTTCAGAGCAAGAATGTGAGTAACTTTTTTATGTGTTAATATATTTTTTTAAAGTAACAGTTTTTATTACCTAAGAATATTGCAAGAGCAATAATTTAAGAACTTAATTACTATAAGATTGATCTACTTGCTAGACAGTGATTCTTTAAATCAAGGTTGTAACATATTGTAGAGTCATACAAAGATCGTCTGCTCGTTAGTTATCAGCGTGTTTTGCGTCTCTCTTCAATAATTTATTTGAAAGTGAATTGTCAAGAACACAATCATTTAGCTAATCACTTACTTCGTGAATATCAATCGTCGGGGTCATTTGAAGTTATTTCTAATTTACTAAGTTTCCACACACTGACTTATAAATACTAGCTCCCGCTGTAGCTGTTATTTCTGTTTTTCCCGCTTTTTTAATGTCCTCTTTTCGGGATATCCAAGGTATCCGAGCTGATAAGACTATAATGTCAAACCGCAATACTGATCTTTATCACATTCAAATTACAATATTCAAGACAAATAACCAATTAATTGAACAAGACCACGAGAAAAAAACATCTTGCTTTAATCACGTGACTGATACTCAAATCATGCATGTAATTATACCGTTTGAATATATTAATAAACAATTTATTTAAAAACAAAATCGATTGACTGTTTTTGAGGCAAAATGGGCATATTCCTACAATTTATTAAAATCCATGAACGCGAATGAGATAAATAATTATGGCATCAATATGCTATCCAACACAACTGATTATAATGATGGTATCCTTATAATAGAACATTGTATTTTTTATTTAACGTTTGGTTACTTTCAGATAGCAGAAGTTGAAAAGCGTTCTTCAACACGTAAGAAATATCTCGTAAATATAAAAGTAACTTTAAATATTTCATTAGATAAGGATTCATTTATCAACCAAAGTCAAAATTGAGACTTAATATAAGAAATTTTCGTCTTCATTAGATCATTAGATTAATAGCTAATTAAAAGTAAAAAAAAAAAGTTTAAATAAAGTTTATGATGTCAACTGAGAAAAGATTTATATGTCTAATAAAATCAAACTTTTTTAAACCTTGTTGACAAATTATCGTATAAATGATTGTTTTGGTGTTATTTTTTTTTATCATTTCTTCTGCGTTTTCAGTCTGTTATCTAGACAGTCCTACCCGTACCCTGGATGGACAGTTCACAAAAAGCGACCAGATGACGCCATCGTACTGTCAGAAGTTCTGTACTAAAGGAAACTACAAGTTATATGGTGTTGAGGTGAGAAATGCTTGATTACATGCACGTGAATGCAAATGAAGGTAAAGCAATTCTCTTCAAAATGCCTCTGTTTCAGTCCATAAAATCCAAAGACGCATTATTGTAATGTTGTTACTAAATGTTTAAAATTCAAAATTGATTAAAAAGCCAAAATTATTAAATTTAGAACAAACTGGTTTTACTAAGATTGGATTGACTCACAAACAATTTCACTGATCGCATCTAATCTTTGACAATCTGCCCACTTTTGTAATGTCATATAAAAGCATATAAAATTCAAATTACAAAATCTTGGGATCTAATCATAAAGTCGATTAGAAGTATGATCAAATGACCTAGATATCTTAAGAAAAGAATAAGATATTGTTGTCATGTGCACACATGCCCTTTATAAACATCGAATAATACAATTAACCTTCAAATGTCAGATGTCAAAAAAGACCGAAGACTAATAGAGCAAATTTAAGTAGATAGATTATTATTCATCATATGTCATTTATAAACCTTCAATAATACATGATTGTAATTTTATCCTTTTGATTTTAAATTAAAATAACAGTTATTCTCTGATGTCTCTTTCTAAGTAAAGCATTTTTATTGCATTTTAACAAAATGTTAATGTCCAAGAACACTTAGAATTTTAAACCGTTATGTATTATTTGCCATTATAGAGTTTGGGAAAACATACTGAGGGAAACAGCAAATATATTGATATTTAAAGACATCGGTCCTTCTCTCTTCCTCAAGTACAAATCAATTTTTAAAGAAATGCAAAAAGAAATCGTTTTATTTTTGTGCTTTTACATGGTTATGTTAATCAGTTAATAAAAATAAAAATACATGGCTTTTCCTGAATACTGTTCGTTATCTCCATATGTTTCATAATGTTCAAAGTTTGAGTGCGTCAATTTATACATGCCTTTATGTTCCTCTGTTATTATGCAAGACCGAGGCCAAGTCAACTGAGCTAGTTTTTTGATGGATTAAAATTGAAATAACAACAGTAGTGAAAGTGAAAAAATGTCATTTATTGAAGACAAGACTAGAAAAAAACTTCGAAAGAATACAAAAATCTTTGGTATCATATTATGCAATCTGACCCCCTAAAATTACATATATCATAAAGCAGGCACTTATATGCCTGTCATCAAAAAAGGGTGGGTTAAAAGAAAATAAACGCCTATATCTTTAGTACCCAACAAAATAGTATTTTTCCCTTTATTTTATAGGCATCAAACTGGTGTCATTGTGGAAATTACATAACAAGAGATGTTCTGAAGGATCCATCTGACTGTGAAGAAAAATGCAGTGGAGATAGTGACCAAATATGTGGAGGAGCCTGGGCCATTAACATCTTCGCAAATCCTGAGTACAAGGTTTGATGAGTACTTTAAACCAACTTTTATTCGCGTGCGAGAAATTTTCGCGAAGTTTGCAACAGCCTCGTCATCGCGAATATTTCTCGCCGAGAACCGGTATTTAACGTTTCTCTGTCTATTCAAAACAGATCGAAAAAGGCTTGTTTGGGAAAATAAGTCGTCGCTAACTAGTTTACCCCTCGTAAATCGCGAAATAAATCGTCGCGAATAAAAGTTGTTTTACAGTATAGGTTTTTTCATTTCCACATGCAAAAAATATACCCACAAACCTATCCCAAATATACAAATGTTCACCTTAAATTGTGTTCTACAAAATAACTTTGAAACGTGTAAATGTAACGGTTTACAACAATCAGTAAATATTTTCCTCAGGAACTCTATTACCAAAGAGTTTCTTTTTTTATTCATTTCGGTTAAAAAGATTTTCAATCATATACTAATGACTATATTGAGATTTATCTGTATAATCTCAGAATAATAATGCATATGTCCTTTTTTTTGTTTCGTGGCTTTGGTTTTGGTTTTTTTTTATATATTACATTTTTCTATTTTCAGAACCCAGATGATTTGGTACAAGGGAGCAATGGAGGTAGATTGAATTTTAAACCCCTTTCATTCCATTAGAATGTGCATTTATTAAATGAAAATTAAATAAAAACAAAAATTTAAACCATCGTAAAACACTTCCATTAAAAGTAAGAATTAAGATCACTACTTTGCTGAGATTGATTCTATATTTTATTGTTATCTCTGTCTGCTTATATATACCCAATCTTACTCATTAAAATTTAGCTATATTTTACAGAATACGTAGGGTGTTTTCAAGACCAGTCCTGTAGATCTTTTACCGGAAATCACTACAGAAGCAACCAAATGACAATTGAGAAATGCAAATCCTTCTGCACGAGCTACTCAATGTATGCTCTTGAGGTATGTAATAAAAGATATATATAGATATAAGTTCAACATGATTTTAAATGTATTCTTCTTATCTTTGACCGTTGACGGTAGCTCAGTCGTGAGTTCGTATCTCGGCCGCGACTGACCTAAGTCGATAAAAAATGGGTAGCAACTGTTCCTTCGATTGCGCTCGGCACTTTGAAGTGAAAGTTGCTGGTCCTTCGGATGAGACCTTAAAAACCGAAGACCCGTGTCAGCTGCAGGCGTTTGCACGATTAAGATCCTTCACTGCTCAATGACCTTGAGTGGCGAGTAAAGGTCAAAATTTGAAGCCCTTCACCGGCATACGGTGACGTCTCCATATGAGTGAAAAATTCTCGAGAGGGAGGTTTAACAATATACAATCAATCAATCTGTATTACCTTTGACGCCATTTTGCGAAAATTAATTTTATTAAAAATGATATCATTGAGAGTTATCTTTCTTATCAGAGTATTATAAAAAAAATATTATTATCTTCATTTAGCACATTTTGGAATGTTCTTTCTTTTTATATTTAGTTTTTTTTTATCTATATATTTAAATGTTAAATTCAATAAGCGGTATTTGTTTTCACCAGTCTCTAAATGAATTCATAGGTGAATGTTAGATAGCAAATAGAAATGGCAAATTCAACGCCTTATTAATAATTTCTTTGAAATCTATTAGGCAACCACAGGATGTTGGTGCTCAAATTATTTCAAAACAAGAGTTCCGAAACCGGATTCAGATTGTAACATGAAATGTACAGGAAATTCTGATCAGATTTGTGGAGGAGCATGGAGACTGAGCGTCTATAAAAACCCAGACTACCAGGTGGGTTGATATAACATTACATAACAATTTAATATTTAAAACGAAATATATACGAGCTCTCGTATACTCGTGTATATGTATAATTAAAGCTTTAGAATTTATAATGCAGGAACAGATATAGGTTAAGGATTTTAATGCATTTTTAATGCATGTCGTCCGCTTTACATTACATTGTATAGAACATTTTCAAACTAAACTGATTTGTCTGTTTAATTTATTTTTTACTAGTACTTGTTACTGATAAGATGGCCACTGCTTACTACATGTACCTTTTTGGGGGATTTAAATATACATGTGTAAAGTAAAACAACCTGTGGCGAGAATACATAATTATAATAAATTGACGCTTATAGTGAAGTGATGTATAGACCGTTGCCTCCCAGACAGTACACTGCACAATTAACGGATATAACAAATTACGCTTAATTAATAAAATCGCTTAAGGAATATTGTCGGTCTGTGGCATTTCGTTATAAGCGTGTGCTACTTTAGTTGGTGATTAATAATGCGTCCTGAAATGATAATGTTTAAAAAAAATAAAAACCCTATAGAATATTCATTTTTGAATTTATTCAATCTACGAGATATGAAGCTCAATTCTCAAAGTAACGAAGGCTTTTTGAATGAAAGTCTAAAAGTGATTTTAAAAAAAAGACTATTGATTATAATAAAAAAAAAATCTGTATAAAAAAAATCGTTACTTCGCACAAATGCATTGATGTAGCATTATGTAGCTTTTATAGACATATGATTTTTTAACACCAGTATTTTTTTGGCAGGCAAGCTGCTGAGAAAAGAGGGAACCAGCGTCAAAAAAGCGGACAACAGATTAATTATGAAGCAGTGATTATTATTCAAAAAATATTAAATAAAGATTTCAATGCAGAAAATATGTTTTGTGTGTGTATGCGCGCGCTTTATTTTTTTTTTAACTTAATGAAGAGAGATATAGAGATAACGAACAGTATTCAAAATCAAAGTCCATAAAACAATACAAAATAGGAGCAGACCAAACAGGGACCTCCGAAGCATCAGAAGTGGGACCAGGTACCATGGAGGAGTGAGCATCCCTTGCTGACCAGTCACACCCGCTGTTGCTCCTTGTCATGATCGCGAAATATGGAAAAATCCGTCGTCAATTCAGTATATAAATAATGGACTAACAATTAGTATGAAAAACATCAATCAGCATTTTACTCAATGATAAATTTTATCTGATGACAAAGTCATGATATCGAACGTAGAACTAACGAAATGATTACTTTAAACGAGACTGCCGATACTCTTTTTTCATCAACTTATTTGTCAATAGTTTAACTCGTATTAGAACTTGTTCATACGTAGATCATGCTCTTGCTTATCGAATCAATTGGGATATATAAACTCCGTATGCAGGTGATAAAAGTATATATTGCTACATATAGCATGCTCTTGCATATTGAATCAACTGAGATCAAACTCAATATGCGCATTATTGACAAACTGTTGATCATTACTTATTAAGCAGAGTAAAAGTGAAACGTAACGAGAAGTCATGTAAACAAACACAAAAAACGGAGTTTAAAAGTATTAAGCATGAATCCGTCATGTGCAGCAAATGCAGTCCGATCTCTACCATTGTTTTTCAAATGAAATGCTAAGACGTCATGACGTTGACGTTAAACACTTCGACGTTGTTTATAGGAGGTAACAAAGAACTATATGCGGTATATTGCATATATTTGCCCCCATAAAAATCAAATTTTGAAAACTTTCTGAAATGTGCTGAATTCAATCAATTGTATGAGAAATATAAATTAACAGAAAATATCATAGTTTCAAAGCAGTGTATTCACAATTTTTGTTTTTATGACGTCACAAACTAGTGCGATTTTATATCCTTTTTCAGAAAGAGGACAAAATGGACAAAATTTCAACAATTTTAGCTTTAAAATTTATAGAGCGCAAGTTTGTTCAGGAACAATATTGACATATTTCATTGATATTATCATTCTACACATTATATCAAAATATTGATCCTGAACACACATGCGCTCGGTGACTTTTACTCAAAATATCGACGAAATATGTACATTTTTCTGTAAAATTCATAAAAAACTGAAATTTACGTCATGTTTGTGACGTCATTACGTACTTATGACGTCATTACTTTTGAAAATATTCAGTGCTTTGAAGTCAGCATATACTCCCCTGTTTAAGAACTTAATTAAATATATCTCCATTAAAGTTTGATTTGGGGGGCAAATATTGGTTATTACCGAATAAAGTTCTTTACATTTATGGAAAGTAATGCACCAAAAAAAGATTTTAAATTTAAAAAATATTCAATATCTTTTATATAATTTTTTTTTATGAAAGCAATACATGTAAGTGTTATTTAGGTATTATGTAGAACTACATTTTTTAGAAAATTATGTAGAATTACGTACAGTTCTTTTTTTTTTTTTTAAGGAAAATTATGTTGTAATAGTTAAGACAAGTAATGGTAGTTTTAAGACAAAAGTAGGTTTTCCCATTCTTTTAAGCTCATCTTTACATGTAATCATGAAAACCTACAAAATCACGTTTTTTGTCAAATTTTAGGAAGAATTTACAGGGGAAATAATGGGTGCCGTTACCATAGCAACGTGACATTTATAAAAATAAAAAAAATATATAACCATTAATGATGTGACAACATGAATGCACGCAAAAGTTTCATTAAAATTAAAAATCTAGTGTGGCCAGGCATTATTGAAATTGTTTGAACTGATATTAAGCCTTCACGATGCAACTTTTACAACTCCCTTTGAAACAACTCTCCATGACCGTAATAAGACCCCTATTGATTTTGATGTCAAAAATTCATACACTCTTTTTTGTGTAAAACTTTCATTTCTGAATTTTATCTCAAGATTTAGCTTTTCCAATGAAATTTTATGCTAGTACTTCCTAAGACCTTGTCCCAGCCCGTCACCCTCCCCACCCCTTTAGATCTACACAATTATGCTCTTCTTTTTTTTACTCAAACATGTCCGGTCCATATCTTTCTTACGGAGGATTATTAGAACCTACTTCTCCACACAAAGATTGCTCATGACCTAAGGGTGTGTCATGACCTTGACCCAAGGTCATTTGGGGAAGTTCAAGATCACTGGAAGAAAAATTTCGTAATTTGTGTCCGGTCCATACATGTATCTTTCTAATGGATAAACTTTGTAGGTTCTCATTTCACACAAAGATTCCTCTTGACCTAAGGATATGGCATGACCTTGGGTCAAGGTCATTTGGGGAAGTTCAAGGTCACTGGAAGAAAAATTTTATAATTCGTAACCGGTCCATATCTTTCTTTATTATGGAAAAACTTGAATCTACTTCACACAAACATTGCTTATGACTTGAGGTTGTGTCATGACTTTGAACCAAGGTCATTTATGCAAGTTCAAGGTCACTGACAAAAAAAGTTCATAATTCATGTCTGGTCTAGTTTTAACTAATTTTAATAGACAATTTAAATTTTCAAAAGATTATATATTAATAACCATTCTCTGTAACCACTTGAACTTCATTGCCACGCATGGTCACCGATTTTGATGAAACTTCACCCATGCTTAGTACTTGACACCAGAAACAAATATCAAACAAAATTTCGTTGCTGAGTGTCTCGGTTGCTATGGCAACAGCCGGAAAAGTTTAAAAAATCGAGATTTTCAGCTACTTTAAATATTGACTGTGGCTTAATAAAAACTAGAAAAAGCAAACAAATCATTCTCACAAAAACATGACACCTTGATGTCACTTATATTGTAAAGAAACTGTTTAGAATATATCTCTAAGTAAGTGGTAACCAAGGATACATTTGGAATACATTTAAAATGCTGAAATATGCTGAAAAACACTCCGTATTCACTAATGGTAGTATTACATGCACAATGAAAATGTTTGACCTTAAGTATATAAGTATTAGCAATATTATTCTATAAATAACTTTATTAGTTGCCATGGTAACACAGTGTAACCATGCAAAACCAGTAACTAAGATTGGGTTAATGCTACTGTCTTGAGGAAAAACATGAAAATTCAAGACTGGCAAATATGCATCCTTAGGACCTTGTATCACCAAAACCATAAGAAAATTGGGTATAATTGCTACCTTGCAGTGTTACCATGGAAACAAAGTACCAGTGCTTAAAAGTGAATTATTTTTCGCCGCATTTAGAATTAAATTGCCATATAATCAAGAAACAAATTAAAGGACTCAACTTGAATAGTACTTATCTGTTAGAACTGAAGTTGAATATCATATATTGATAAAATGTGATGAAGAAAACAACACTGTTGCTATGGTTACCAAGAAGGGAAAAAGTTCGATTTTGTGAACTTGATATCAATATTAAACCCTGTATGCCAACATCTTGCATCCACTTAGAGATTGGATGATAGTCAAAATTAAAAGTCAGGTTAGCTGTTAATAAATATCAATCATAAAAGTTTTGGGAATCTACATTTAAGGGTACGTATCCAAGGAAAGAAAATATTTTTCAGGTTTTTAAGCATATATTTTCTGATTATTTTCATAGCAACGCTTTATTTAAAGAATCTAATCTGAATTTTTTCAAATGGGAAAACTAGGAGCACACTAACATCTTTAAAATATTGATCATTAGTTATGAGGAAATGTGCTTTTTAAAGATAGGATCAGATTTAAACATACATAATGTTACTCTGCAGGCTCTCTGTGGTATAAAAACCTTGGCAACCATTGCCAACCAAAATGAAATATCATATTTTGTTCTTGGTATATGTCTCAAGGCTCTTTTTTCTATTAATTGGTCACATTTCATCCTAAAATTGCAATTTATTTTAAGTGTATGACTTTTTAAAATTCAAGGAATTTTTTTTTTTTTTTTTGCTTTTGAATACTTTGTTACCATAGTAACGTATGTAATAGTTGATTCACCAAACATGTTTATTATACATTTGAGACATCTGTCCTTCAACTTTTGGAAACAGTCATTGCCATTTGTTTGCTTTGCCGCAAATCTAACTATGGGGCTCTAAACATGTTAAAAAATACCATTTTTCAAACTTCAAGACATGTTGCCACAGTAACTATAAAGCATAGCAACGAATTTTTGCCTGATTTCAGTTTAGGGTACCAATTACTTTTATCATAGGGAGTTTGGAGAAATTCTGCGACTATGCGTGCCACAGTTCCTATATAAAATTTCAGATCATTACAGAGAATGGCTCTTAATTAATCTATTAAACTTACTTGTGACCAATGGTAGATTCATTTGAAAGAAGAAGAAAAAATACACTGTTTCGCTCTGTTAGAGCTCATCAGGCCGCCTTGCAGACGACGACAGCATTCTCCTCTGGGTCTTTTTGTCCATAACATAACAGCACAAACATTGGTGATGCAGCAGTTATCCTCTCTATATATATTTTGCTTTGCTGGTGATAAAAGGTCTGGAATACATCTTCTTATAAGTTCCGTCAGAATGACAACAAATACACTCCCAATCTCTAGTAATGGCCTCAAACAGAATCGTGTACCTTGTAACTCTTCGACAGAGTGGTTTCCCTTGTAACTCTTTAGTCAGAGTGGTTTCCCTTACATCTCTTTGACAGAGTGCTGTCCCTTGTATCTCTTGGCAAAGTGGTGTACCTGACAAATCTTCTGCGTTGGTATAAAAATCTCCGTAGCTCTTTTTCTCTTTGTAGAAAAAAGACCATTCAATAAAGTATGTCTCTGTTCTGCTGTCTCTGTAGTACTAAATCCTGTTTCTGTAACTCCTGATCAAGCATCTGTAGCTCTTACTGAAGCCTTTGTAGCCTTAATCCTGTCTCTGTAG